AATGCATCCACCCACTGGTACACAATATATCTTGCATTATGTGTTAACGTTTCCACCAAATAGTTCAAAATTAACCTTACATGTTGTTTCCATCTACTAGTACAAAATATGCCTTGCAAATTTTCCATCAATTGTTTCAAAATATATATCTTGCACCAAGTGTTAATTTTTACACATGCTGCTTCAAAGTATACCTTGAATTATGAATTAATGTGCCCACCTACTAGTTCAAAATATACCTTGCATTAGATGTTAATGTTGAATGTTAATGCTGACTGGTTCACTACCTTTCAGTACCTGTTTATATTTCCATCTGCTGGTTCAAAAGATACAACAAAACAAATGTGCAGTGACTGGTTTTGTGCAACAACTGATGGAATCCCTTAAAAAGTAAATTTTCTATCTAAAGAACATGGGCAAAGACTACATCAATTAACAATGGAAAATGCCAAAAATCCTTCCAAACATTCTCACATTTCTGGCTTTATGCCAATACTGCAGAAATCTGTTGAAGGGAGAAAAAGACAATGCTTGGAAATTAAATTCAGACAAGCAGAAAGATTGTAGCAGAACTGTTCTTGTCTGGAAACAATAAAATCCCACTTCATGCACAGCTATCAGGTGTCAAAATATCACTACTGATAGATAATAAGACTCACTTTTCAAATGAGTTGTAAAAGCCAGTTCATTGCAACTGAATAATCATTATACCCTTTTTTAAAATGAATAAAACAGAAGGCAAGGCAAGGCATGAAAAAACAGGTCACATTTAATAGATACTTAATGACTGGCAAATGGTCTATGAGAGTAGATAAATAAACACATATGGTAAAGATAAACAAAAACCAGTCCTGCTGAAGATCTGACCTTTTTATTGGTTAGTTACCTGGATGTACAAGTACCTCTCATGGGAGGTGGTTTCAGGAATGCATAACATATGCAGAATGATATATTATGTCATCCAGTGTAAAACAAAATCCAGCAGAGAACAAGACCTGGTACAGTTTTAAGTGCAGGATGTTAATGGTCTACAATCTTTTTATCTATACAGTTGACTTAAGTGGTGCTGTTGAGTGTTGTCTCTGAATAGTGTGAAAGCTAGAATTACCTATAAAGAAACAAGCCTGGATGATTGAAGACAGGTCCAATGCAGGCTGCAGCCCAAAGATAACATAACTTGATTTGAAAGATTCTTTTTTTTGTTCATTTGTTGTTCACTGACAATAGTGTGCTAATGTTGTTTTGTCTTTGACAAGAATGTGCAATGATGAAGCAAGTTACCATGCTTGTCTATACTAACAGAAGACATTACAACCCAAATCCAAGAAGAAAACTGGTTTATAAATAAATAAACAAAGACTCATATTATTTTTCTTTTGATTGAAATATCATTTATGCTTAAATGACAAGAACATTTATTATTTAATGACTGGAATATCAAAAAATGCATCCACTGAAGAGATGCCCCTCAACTGGGTGGAAAGAAATTTCCTGGTATTAAAAAAAAAAAGACAATTTCTTCCTCTTAACTGCCGAGTAATTGAACTGCCTCTAACATTTTTCAGCAGCAAAAAGATTGGCACCATTTTCATTTAGGACCAAGAAGACATTATTTTGGTGAAATTTCTATATTAATATAACCATCTATAAATGGGCATTGGCAACAGCAAGATTTCCACAAGAGCCATTGTGGTAGCCATATTGGATATATGACTAGTAACATTTTCATTTAGAATCAAATAGGTATCATAAAAAAATCTAATGGTAAAAACCTCTTGTTGATATAACAAATCTGTTTGCAGGAAGAAGAGATAGTATTTTCAGGATGGGAACCAAAGTGGTCATAGTGAGTGTCAATTTGAATCAATTAATTTAGGATCACTTACACACCACAAGAACTCTTTTTATGAAAACCCTTGTCAAGATGACTTTCCATTTATTAGGATTAGCAATAACAATAACAATAGCAATAACAATAACAATAACAATAACATCAGATCAACGCCATTTTTCATTTTGTTCGAACAAGACATCATAAGAACTCTTATGGTGAAAACCCAATGTCAACAGGTCTTTCTGTTCAGGACGATGTTAGTTTAGCAGCATATCACTTTTTGGGATTTTTTAAAATAGTAAAAAAATCTTCAACATGGCTGACATTGTGGCCATATTGGATAGCAGATGCACACCACTTCCATTTAGGACAAACCTCATAAGAAATTTTCTATTGAAAGCACAATGTTGACATAATCAGCAATCAATGAGAAGTAGCAATAATAAGATTTTCCAGATGGTCATTTTGGTGGCACACTGGAAGTCACATTGGTTCCATTTTCATTTACAAAGTCGTCTGTCTGTGAAAACCCGTTCATTCATTCATTTAGAAGAATTAGAGATAACAAGATTTTCATGATGGCCATATCGGGTATCTGAAAGGCACCATTTTCATAAGGATCAATTAGACACCATAAAAAAGTCTTTTAATGAAACCCCCATGATGATATGACCATCCATTCAGGAGTAACACCAATGGCAATATTTTCAAGATGGTCACTGTGCTGGCAATAACAGATAACACCTGCACAATTTTCATTCATAACCAACTAGACATAATAAGAAGTCTTCTGTTGAAAAGTACATATCAACATGACTTTCCATTTTGGAGGAACAGCTGCAAAAGCAGTCATATTGGATGTCAGATCAGCATCATTTTCATGTAGCATCAACTAGACATCACCAATAGTTTTTCAATGAAATCCCATGCTGATATTAGGATACATTCAAAAGATGGCTTGTTGGTTGGTTGGTTTGTGTTTAATGGCATTTTTTTCAGCAGATGATAGGCCAGTATATCTGGCGGAGGAAGAACAAGAGAAAAATCTGGTAAAAACCACTTAACCACAGGAGGCTGCTCACAAGCTTTCTCAGGTACCCATGCTAGCCAAGTCCGATATTCAAACCCATGTGCACCAATGTGAGATTCAGTGATTTGTAAAGACAAGGGGCATAGACCACTCGGCCACCCTGGGCCAACCATTTCGGATTAAGTAGTAATAATATTTTCAAGATGGCTTTTGTGGAAGAAATATTTGACATCAGATCAGCATCATTTTACATTTAAAACGCACAAGACAACATCAGAGCTCTTCTATTCAAAACCCCTTGTCAATATGACTTTCTGTTTATAAAGAGTAGCAATAAAAATAATTTCAAGATGTTGGATGACCAAGTGTCACCATTTTCATTTAGGACTGATTAAACATCGGGGAGGATGTATGTGCAAAGTTTCACGGCAATCTTCCAAGTAGTTTATGAATATTAATGATAACCTGAGATGGATACCAGACTAAAAATACATCCTTTAAGTTTGTTTTGAGATCAGACATCATCAGTCAGCATTATGGAATAAATTAATGTGGCATTAAATACTTGGAACAAGTTTTTGAAAACACCATCATTAAAATCATAATGATACTAAATATGAGCAACACATGTGGAATAAGTGTAATAGTTGTGGTTGCTGCATTTTGATGAATAGAATTATTCATGCAATAAAAATACTTCTGTCCCAAAAATTAAAATAATTTATGCCAAAGAAAAAATTCAATCATTTATCTTTCAGTGGGGAAAATGTTAAAAATATTTTACAGAAGATGGGAAAATTATCTTGCTGACTTGTTGAGAAACACGCCCAAATGATTCTCTAAGGAAGTCAATGAACCTGATCACAAGAACAAACTTCTAAAATCACCTCTTTCCTCATTAAAAAGTACAATAATCAACACTCTTATATCCACAATTCTCCAGTCACTAAAACAAATGGTCAGTTTTTATTTGCAAAATCATTTGACATTTTTTTAAACATTTTTTTTTTCAACTAGTAAATTTGAACAAATATTTCTCAGAGCAATTTTAGAACAATCAATAATTTTGTAGTATTTTCTATAGACATGTTTGAATAATGTACAGTAATGAACACTGCCAAATTTGAATAATGTACAGTAATGAACACTGCCAAAGATGTACCATAGGTACTAGTAGACAATTCACACTAAACAGTCAATACTGCCAACTCAGATCTGTAACTGCATAATGCACTAGCAGATCTGGGTTGACACTGTGTAGAACAAACAGTGAAGACTAATATGCCAACACAGTATGTAATAGCAGGTCTCAATCAAAGCTGTTGTGCTGCTGCATGAATCTTGCAAACAGAAAAATATGGTATATCACTTGTACCAGCCTGTATTGTACATTATAGACATGAATATAAACTGCCAAGTTCAACAAAGATAATATGAGGTCTGTATTAAATGCACTGTATTGTTATAAATTGTAAACATATACCATTATCCTCTGGGAATTCCATGATTCAGTGTAATTACAAATGACATTGATTTGCATATATGAAGACAAAGAGACAAAGCCTCAATTTAATACCATGGTTAGTTCAATACTTACAGCATCATTTCAAATCTGAAGACAAAGAAACAAAAAACAGGGACCATGCTAACAGCCTCGATTTAATACCATGGGTAGTTCATTATTTGCAGTGTCGTTTCAAATCTGAAGACAAACATGATACCAACAGCCTCAATTTGACACCATGGGTAGTTAATGACTTGCAGAGTCGTTTCAAATATGAAAACTGCTAATACCAACAACCTCAATTTAATAACATGGGTAGTTAATGACTTGCAGAGTCATTTCAAATCTGAAAACTGATAGTAACAACAACCTCAATTTAATAACATGGGTAGTTAATGACATGCAGTGTCATTTCAAATCTGAAAACTGATAGTAACAACAACCTCAATTTAATAACATGGGTAGTTAATGACATGCAGTGTCATTTCAAATCTTAAAACAGATGATACCAATCACCTTAAATCAAGACCATGACTTGCAATGTCATTGAAAAAAGACTGCTACATATACCTGAAGACATTCTCCCTCCTTAAACTTGACAATGGACTTAAAGGATAAATTTATTAATGGTAGCTGCAGTAGCTCAGTTGGTTGAGTGCCAAACTTATAAACCAAAGGTAATGGGTTAGATACCCACCCAGGATCAGCTGCAACAGTGTGTCCTTGTTAAAGGCTCTTACTCCCATTTACATGGCATGATACAGTCGATGTGTTAAAAGCGCCACTAAAAAGCATATCATGCTTTTTAATATATCACACACTTTTCAAGCCATGTAAACCTGTAATTAACATTATCATTTACAGCTAACACTTTAGTACAAATAATTTTCTCAATGTAGATGGCTTAAAAAAAAAAAATGGAAGCAGAATGGAAAGGATATGATGCACTGCATACTGATGTAATGCAGACAAAATAAAAAGAAAACAAATTTTGGAGAATAAATTAGCCAAGGCAATAGTATATTGACAACACAGACGAACTAAACATAAATAAGACTGAATATTATCAGCTGAAACAGACAATTTTTTGCAGAAAATAATGATTGAAAATGTAATTTGGTAAACATTCCTTCCTGAGTAGGACTGACAATGGTGTCAAATCAATATTCTATTAAAATTAATCATTTCATACAATCCAGAGTTCCTGACAATAAATATTCTATACCCTCCACTACACTAACATAAGAATGTGAACAATAAAACTGCACAGTACAGACTTTAAGATATATACAGTCCTGTCTTGGCTTATATTTTGTATCTTCTAATTCAATCCAATCATTCTTAATTCAATTTGGTGGAGAAAAACATTCCAAAACTATAAAAATCTATAGAAAGGAGTCCCATATGGCATCAAGGGATTTACTTTCTATTCATTTAGCTACCTCAATTTCATTTCACTTGATTGATGTCTCTCTCAATCTCCCCAGTCTGTGTTTCAGACATATATAACAATGTCAATTTTTATGGTTTGATGGCTACATATAAGATTTATAATATGAGCTATCCTGCAACAATCTTAAAGCCAAAACGAAAATCATTACAAATTGTCAGAATATTAGCTTTCTGCCATTCTTGTCATACCAGATCTACGGGATTAAGCCAGTATTACATATCTACATTATTTAAATTCAAGTCACTGCCTATAATGGTATGTCTTACACAGTCCTGTAAATCAATTATTGTCTTGATTAAAGAATATCCTAAAACTTGAAGTGAATACAAAGGAATTCAGGATCCTACAATTACATCAATTTCTCTCCAACTATTTATGCATTTGTTTTCATTCTGTAACAAAAATATTTCAATGAAAGACAAGGCTACAATGAAAAGTGTTGATAATTAAGTTTATAACGTTACTGATTCTAATGTATTTTTTTTTAAAATACCTCCTGATTCGTCCATTTCTTCCAACATATTTAAAAATAAATTATTTAGAATGTGTACGCTCTGTCAAGTCAGCACCCCCACCCCATCCCAAGATTAACAGGGAAAAACCCCATCCATTGACTTTTAAGAATAAACAATGATGCTTTAAATCTCAATTTAAAAAAAAGATTTTTGAAAGAATAATTAACTAATTAACTAAAAAACACTCATAAAGACTGCTGATACATCAAGAGGTTTGAATCATTTATAGAAGATAAAGATACGGCTTCTCAAAAACATTATCAGTGATATTTAAATCAATAGTTTGACAAGAAAGACTCTTATCTGATACAAAGTCTGGAGACAAGTTCAAAATTTAACATTTTACTTAGAGCCAATCAAAAGTGACTTTTCTGAAGTGAAATCCTTTTTAATTGGCTAATATAAATTCTCAAGGAAAACTGTTTTATGATCTGAACTGTCACTGCACATGGCACAGGACATGTGTAAATTCAGCATAACACAGGACAAATCACGCACAAAAATATTCAAATGCTGTTAAACTATCCATGATTCAATATAAACATGCAACCATGGTCATTAAAACCATTTTAATCAAATTTATTAATTCACTGAACTCAGATCATATTAATACAACATCCATAAACAACAACAAAACAGGGGTTACTGAATCGTGTGCTGATTATCCCCAATTGTTACCAGTATTGACTGATATGCATATCAGAACAGCTTGTCTGGGTTTTAAGCAGGCACTTTGCATAAATAATTAAAATCAATAATCAAAAATACAAATTTACCCAAATAGGGCATTGTACTTGAGCTATGGGATCATGAATGGTAAAATTAATACATTACAGTGAATCTTTGCAACGTAACCGGTATCTGAATTGGCTCAGAAATCTGCCTCCTTGTAACTGGTCAATAGCTCTTAGGTTGCCTACCATCCTGGAAGTCATTGTTTTTGTTTTTTTCATGTGACCTCTTCATTCTGAATGCTACATATATTTGTAATAGCATCATCAAATAACAGGACTACCAATAAAAATAAAAAAGATATTTTCACAACCAAAATTTTGTCCTAGAGTCCTACTGTTGTTGACTCACATAATATTGGCAACATTGATAAAAAAGAATAAGAAAGTTAGAATTACTAAATAATTTCATTCCTATAAACATTAAACATAATCCATTTTTGCCCTGTTTAAATTTCTCCGAGTTTCTTTTTAATTCTTAAAAGCAATAAGTGCAATTTTCCATAATATTAATATTTCATTTTGGGCACTAATTACTTTCAATTATTCCTAATTTTATTTTTTTTAAAAAGGATGCTAAACCTACATACAGTATATACTCGCTTACAAGTCAGTTTTTTTTTTAAATTTAAATTCAGCAGGGTCATCTTACAATGTTACATGGTGAATTTGATAAATCCAGGGGTAATGTTGAAATTTTGAGATGCTTGCATTACACACAAATACTGTTAATTCAAATCTTTTTAACTTTTCCTGCCACTATTTTCATTTAGAAACATATAAATGGCATGTATCAGTTTCACAATGGTATTCACTACACAATATTTGCATCAAATCTGGATTATTATAATTCCAAAATATTACAGGTAAATAAAAGTAAAAGTGTATGCCAATGCTGTTAAGCGTTGGTCATAATTAGCATTTATATTGATTCCATTTTTGTGAAATTCATAACCTGTATTAATATTAATATGTTTTGCAATACAAATACTGTATTTGATGCAACACAATTTTTGATTTAATTTTATGTTCCTTTTATGTAAGTTAGAATTAATTCCCAAATTATATTTTCCAAAATCTGCTGGTGCATATGCCCAATAAGCCCTTAGCTTGTAAAGGCAGTACTCACTTTTGTTTTGACATTGACAATCTTTCTGATTCAGCTGCAAATACATGTACTTGTCCAATGTCAGGTAAAGTTCTAAAATCACCGGTACATGTATGATCTTAATCCATTACCTTGTAAAGGCATTGATCAAACCATACAGATAGATTAAAAATGCCAAGCATTATGGATTTTGATGGATTTAATTAAGCCAAATTGTAAGTTGTCAATTTATTTGTGGCATATTCCAACAATAAAATAATTTTATTTTACATTGATTTTGTCTTTATATTTCCTATCTAACAAGTCTGTCTTATTTTCCAAAGTGCAACTCTGACTCACTAACAAAAAGTCACCACTTCTGATGGATCAGACTTGCAAAAGTATACTCCAAATCATAGGAGGGTAAAAAAAGAAATTGGCTTTTTGTAGCCCCACCCCACCCTGCACCCCATTTAGGGGGTGTCCTTATATTCAAGTATATACAGTAAAATTAAATATAGCCTGGGACACTGTATTATCAAGGTACATATTGCTGTTATCAGTAACAATAAAACTGATCTGTTATTGCTGCATTGTTACAATTGTAAAGTTTCTCTGATTTTCCCTCCATCTATTTCTATAAAAGAAATTGGTCAATTTAATCGCGTTATTGTACATAAAAACGGCATATGGCACGTTAATGTACATAAAAACGGCATATGGCGGCTGACCCAGATTACTGTGCCATAGGGGAACAACTCTATATTATCGCAGTATTTACCTAAATTATGTATAGTAGCATGCACATGTTATATTAAACACAAATTTCAAATTGGTGATAAGATTGATTACACTAATATTAACTAAGTTGAAATCCATGATAATTACAGTTGTAAAGAAATATGCATCACTTTATCTGAACAAAGTGCAATGTGGGCAGAAAAATCTAGGTAGATACAAATAAATAAATAAATTATTATTATTATTATTATTATTGAAATATTACTAATTTTAAAAGTAGTTTAACTATTATTGCTTTCCTATTTATGTTGGATAAGTAGGCTCATTAGCAGCATTGTATCAATTAGGGTCCATAATGGCTACCATGAAATCTAATTGCAACCTTACGGTGATTAACTTAATTGCATGTACTTTATACAAAAAGAGTGATGTTCATTCTTTTTCAGTGCAAACTCATAAAAATGTTGACATATTAGATGAAATTGTGCTATAAAATATTTGCATTCTTACTGGCTACAGCTTTACATATGTAAACAACCGCTAGACGACGTGTGTCCAAAATTAATCTGAAAATTCCATTTGCAGCGATAATATAGAGCCCGCGATAATATAGCATTGGACTATAGCTATAACAAAAAAAAAAAAAAAAGCTAAAAAATCTAGGAGAGGAAATCATCACAAAATGGAAAAAATTTTGACTTAACAAAAATACAAGCACCTTAAACTTATTCCAGAAAACAAATCAACACTCAAGAACAGTTCAACAGCAATATTTTAACTTTCAACCTTGTATAGTATCATTGTTTTGATTATTAAACCATTCCTAAACAATTATGGCACGTTTTTGAGGTGCTTTAAGATCTTACATCGCTAACACGTATAAACTTGTCATATTTTCAGTAAATGTTAGAAAGTGCCAAATGAACACAGATGCACTAATTTATTTACAACACACATTCTAGTAGACAAAAGATATACAGGCATCCCCATCTTGAACGGTCCCCCTTCCCCCAGCAGCCACCTACTCCTTATGGCCAGAATCCGTCGGCATCAACAAGTTTCTGTTCAAACATACCCCTCATGAAAGGCCATCCTGCTAACGTGACCTGCTGCCAACATATTTTTTGCACTAATTTACCCCTCACAAGTGGCAGCATTTTTTTTGTAATATGTATCGAGAATCAGTAT